TCTTAAAACGGGAGGATGACACAAGGGGTAGGGACATATATCCACAGTTTCAGCCTCCCAGCTTTCCTGGTTGCTGAGATGAAAGTGGATGACAAAATGCACTCGCTTCCGAACACACACACAGACAACCGCTCGACAATATGCCTTCTTGCTGGCTGTAGCAGCGCTGTACAGCAAAAACGCATAAAAATGAAAAATATTTGAATGAAGTCAGGCTGGTGGTGCCGGTTTTGGAGAAGGTGTCCCATTTCTTCCGTAAGATGGATAAGCGATTAAAGAATAAATGTTTAGTAACTAAAGAGAGAAAACAAGGGTGTGGGAAGAATGATAAATAAAAGAAACAATGATAATGGGCAATAATGTTCTCACTGATGGAATCAAAATCTCGTCCTTCAGTACGACAGTAGTGGTATTTGCCACTGCGCAATGCCAGCAGACTATGAAAGAAGTAAACTGGGAAGTAAGGAGCGTATGAATAGCACTGGATAAATACATTGCCAAGTGCTTGAAATGCGAAACTTTTTCACTAGAATGCTGATAGATCGAACGCACCTTTGTGTTATTTGGCTTAAATAAAAAAGTGACTGCTTTTCAACGATTTTGCAGATTGCTAGTCCAATCCAGCTCAAAAATCAGACACAGGACGATAAATCCAGTTGCACTGATAGCCGTCAGACACTTTCGAAAGAGCACTCGGCAATATCTACTGAATATGCTGGTCACAGTCAAAACAGAACTGGTAGTAGTAGACGCTCACTCATATGCGGTTACTGTGGTAAAAATTTTTCTGCTACTTCACCGCTGAAAGTACACTTAAGGAAGCACACTGGCGAGAAGCTATACAAATGCGTACAATGCAATAAGAGGTTCGGAACACTGGAAAATTTACGGGTGCATTGCAGAATTCATACTGGTGAGAAGCCATTCAAATGCGGTAATTGCAGTTCGAACTTCGGCCGGAAACAACACTTGCAAACACACATGAGAACTCATATTGGTGAGAAGCCGTTCAAATGCAGTAATTGCAGTTCGAACTTCGGCCGGAAAACTGACTTGAAAAGACACATGCGAACTCATACTAGTGAGAAGCCGTTCAAATGCGGTAACTGCAGCTCGAATTTCGGCCTGAAAGCAAACCTGCAAAGACACATGCGAGCTCATACGGGTGAAAAGCCGTTCAAATGCGACCGCTGCAGTTCGACATTCGGGTTGAAACAAAACTTGCAAGCACACATGCGAACTCATACTAGTGGGAAACTGTTCAAATGCAACCACTGCAATTCGAGCTTTAACCGGAACGATCAACTGCAAAGACACATGCGAACTTGCATTGATGATTAAAAAGCGTCGTAATTGCGAAAAAAAGATGAATGACTGAATCTTCTTAATTCGACACCAGAAAACCAGAAAAACTGCAGAGAGAGAAACCATAAAAATTTGAATTCTACTTTGTAAAGATGATCAAATGCCACTTCTCGGGCGGTCTTGAATAAATGCTTCTGGAAGCTGGAAAAAAGCAATTGCTAACATTACTAAAATAAATCGGACGTAAATTTGGTTACCTCATTTTAGTGATATGATTTGTTTTCTCCCACATGCCGGGAGCAGCTTTGCCAGGCCTTTCGATTCTGAGCTGCAAGCTTTCATTAACAACCATCCCCTGTTCGATGCTTGTGCGCAAGTTCTACGGAAGCCGTCCGAGTGGTCGTTAACTCCAGAACTAGAGAAACTGGAAAGCTGAAATTTTGAGAGGATTTTTTGTCCCCCTGTGTGATGCAGATTTCGAATTCAGTCCCTAAGTGGGCTTAATTTTTTTGTATAGACACGCAAAAATTTTTAGCTGGGAAAACTAACTCGAGAATCAGAAGAGCTAGAAAGTTGAAATATTAACGGGATGTTCTCTGCCCATGCACGAACTAAGACTTCAAGTTCATCTCCTCACTGTGCTTGACTCTCATATACAGGCAAGGTTGAGTACGTCACTCTAAAAAATCCGAAAGTGAATAAAGCTCAAAATACGCAATAATTTCTCCCGTGCAAGAATGTCAATCAGAAATTAGAAGGAACATCAAAACTTCACACTGTCAACAAATTCGTTTGTAGAACTGCACGAATTATACATCTTCTTTTCGAGAGTAATGACTTATTGAAAACTTTTATTTTGAATTCACAGCATCTTTGTGTAAACTACAAATAATGATATGTATATCCCAACAACACAGGAACTAGCTAATTTCAAAACCATTTCAGTTTCTACCTGTTTTGGCAAGTTCTGAATGGAAAATATTCCAGGATGAAAAAAGATGCCTATCCCAGGCGGAGTATTTGTCTGTGCCTCAAGACATTTTCTTCTGACCCCATACTTAGCCGCCCTCTACGCATGTAAAATCTTTACCCCTGGCTTTTTCCCTACATTTTTTTTCAAAATTTTTTCAGCAAAATGAAAAGATAATATGACTGCAAAAGAAAATTCTATTTGTAGAGATGAAGGGGTAAAACAATTTGAAAATACAGGGATTTTCAATCTTTTTTACCTCCCCCTCTTCTCAGGGCTAATTTAAAAGGGAAATGCGATGCTACTTTGATTCTAAGAAAACATCCAACAGATTCAGGTTCACTGGCATCAATTTGCCATCGTTATTAACCAATAAAACGTAGGAAAGAGTTTGCTCTTCCTTAAGTCAGGGCCATTTTTGCGTTGAAGTTCCCCTTCTTCATCCTGCTCCCAAATCCTGCCTCCACAGGGGCATCTGGGCATCCAGTACCCACACTCCTCAACCGTTCTGAACTCCTCACTAGCGAGCTTGCTCCTCTCTTCGATCCTACGAGATGCAAAGGCAATCGGAAAACACAATAATTAGGACAGGTGATGCCCTCTTTTATGGGCTGTGAACAATGCTCTTGCTATTAAACAATGCTGAATCCAATCTTTTCAAACAATCCTACGTTATAATCTATATTACTATTGGCATATTGCATGCCAACAATAATATAAATCATGCAACACCTGTCTTAAATATTTTGCCTTGATCAGTTGCAAACCACAGCGTGGTTTTCCGTCCTCGCAGTGGCCAACTTTTCTAGTTGCTTTGACCGGTGCTACTTTGCCTGGTGGTCAGTCTTCTGGCGATCCTGATATTCGTTTTTTTCTGCAGGGGCTTCTACCAACTTGACCGTTCATCCGATAAAAGTACTAAGATGTCCGCGGTAATGATGGGCATCACCACCTTGTCTCAAACTGTACCACTCGTAAACTTCTTCGATGTGGGAAGCAATCAGCTTTGATGGCCTTCCAAATGACACGAAAACATCAGATTACAAGTAATATGCCCTAACCCGTAATAAATCGTGAAAACAGTGTGGGCAACATCCAGACAAAAGCGGCCTTGGAATAAAAAAAAACCTAACATAGGCACGCATGGCGTGCCCTTGCCTTGATAGAGCTCCAGACCGATGGTCTAAACCAATTTTGTTACTAAATAACTCTTTTCAACACTTTACTAATTTTAC